AGTCCCCGCCCGGGCCCCCCCCCCCGGCCGGGCCCGGCCGCATCCCCACCACCTTAGACGCGTACGACCGAGCGCTGCTGCCCACCCCGGGCGCGGCGGCCGCCGTCGCCGCCGCCGCCGCCACCGCCGCGGCCGCCGCCGCGTCCTCCACGTATTACACCCGGGACAGGAGCCCCCTGCGCCGCACGGCCGCCGCGGCCAGCACCGTCGGAGAGGCGTACACGTACGAGCGTGGGCAGCTGTCGCCCGTCTCCTCGGTGGCCCGGGCGTCCCTCTACGACATGCAGCGCTTCGGGCGGGACCCGTACGCGGACCGGGCGCGATACTCCGCCTTTTGAGCCGGAGGTGAGCGCGTTGGTGGCTCTCGGCACCGCGGGGGGGCCCCGCTGCCGGTGGTCCCCGTTGTGCCAGTTGAGGTTGAGGCGGGTGACGGGTCACAGTGACACGGACAGGCCCCACGGGCGTTAAAGCCCAGTCGTGGCGAGGAGGTGCCGTGGTGAGCGGAGCGGTGCTGGCGTCACTCTCGTGGCTGTAACTCACGTTCCTGCCGGGCTCAGTGTCCTGACAGTCCCTGCGGGGTGGGGGGTTCCCGCAGAGCCCCCGGCCTGGGGGCAGCTCCTGCTCGCTCAGGCTGTGGCCCAGGTCCTGGCGGGCCCAGGGTCCGAGGGGGCCGGAGCCCCGCCGATGCTCCACGTCAGGACTCTCTTGCTGCCAGGAAGCCGCAGCTCCCCAGGGCACCGGGGCTCGGCACGGTTCCAGATCGGCCCCGGGGGCACCTGCGCCAACTCCTCTTTTCTCTTACAGGTAAGATTTGTGCGGCTGGACGTCGGGGTCCCGTCGCACGCCAACTCGGCGCCGCGCGTCTCGGGCCGCGCCGGGTGCCACCGCCGCCGCGTGCCGCTCCCGGGCCTGTTCCTTACGGACGCGCGGCTCGTCCTCAGCCCGGGCAGGATTAGCTCAGCCCCTCCCCCAGCTTCCCCCGCCCCCCTGGGCAGGATTTTGCTTTTCCAGGTAGTTTTGGGTCCCCACCCCAGGCTCAGGTGTGAGCGCGCAGCCGCAGCCGTCCCCCAGCGCCAGCTTTGCTTTGCTTCGCCGCCCCCTCGCTCCCCCGGAGCTCTTTCCGAGTCGTCGTTTTGCCTTTTTTTTTTCCTTTATTTTTTAAGAGGGTGGATAATCCAGTGGTAGGTTTTTAGCCCAACGCTGTAGCTGACCGGAGGCCGCCGCGCCGCGCCGGCGGGGGTGGAACCCCCCGAGTGATTTAGAGTCCCCCGACCCCACTTTCCGGTAAAATAAAACTCAAAATTTTTAACAAAAGGCGCTGGCTCCGCCCCCGGTTCTTTCTCTGCACTCACATCCCCTCAGAACACGGCACGGAACATTCTGGAATCCCGGGTGCTGCCTGTGCCCTGCCTGGTCTGCCCACGCAGACCAGAGCCCCCGGGGAGGGCCTGCTGTAAACGTGGACACCCCCAAAACAGTCCTGGGGCCCCCCAAAGGGGCACCCAGGGGTGACAGAGGTGCTTTAACCCCCAGTTCCTTCTCCCATAGGCAGCGGGAGCTGCCACTTAACCTGCCCAGGGCTAATTAGTCTGCACTGTCTTGTTTGTCCCCAAACTGGTTCATTTTGTCCCCAAAGTGGCTTGTTTGTCCCCAGATTGCTCCTGCCTCTTGGTGTTCATTACGGTCATTAAGCCCAGGACATGCCTTTGGTGATGCTGCCAGTTCTGCCTTGCCAGCGCTGATTGGTTCCATGGTCACCTGTGGGTGCTGCCATCGCCACACCTGGGGACTTGGGGCCAGGCCCAGGCGTGTGTGGCCACCCTGGAAAGCAGGGGAGAAGTGTCAGATCCTCCTGCCTGGCTCTTCAGCACGGTGGTTAATGTGCCTTGGCTGTCCCTCCTGTGGCACAGCCAGACTGGGCTGTGACCGGTCCCTGGGGAGAAAGGGGGACAGGAAACACCTGCAGGAATGGTCACGGTGGTGACAGTGGTACCTGGCATGGCACGCACCACCCCTCAAAACCAGCTTTCCTCACCCAAAACAAGCCCCAGCACAGGTCAGTGCCGGTGATCCCGTCCGGTGGTGTCGTGGCAGAACTGAGTCTGGCACTTCCTGCTGCCAGCTCTGAACACTGCTCATCGTCCAAATCCACTCCTCTGTGGTGGGAAAGCGGGTCCAGCACCGGGAGTGGCATTAGCCTGGGATGGGTGGTGATGATGGCACTGGGAGGTGTCCCTAGGGGTGGAAGTGGACCCCCAGGACTGGGAAAGAACCAGGCGGGAGGCGTCGGGAACCGGAGCAGACCCCAGCATTTATTTACAGTCATAAAAAACTGCCGGCACCGTGCCGGGCCTGACGCTGGAAACGGGGAATTCACCCAAAAAATGGGACAACTCGTGGTATAAAAGAGTCTGAGCCACGTGGCTGCAACCATTGGCGGGTTATGAACCGGCACCGAGCACCAGCGGGGGATGAACCGTGCGGCCACCGTAACCGCGGAACCTTCTAAAAAACTCAAACAGCAAAACCAGAAAGAATCGGCTGAAAAAGAACCGTCCGTGCCCCAGCGGGGCGGCGAGCGGGGCCGTGGCCAGCTCAGAGGCGGCGCTGGTAGCCCGAGTGGATGCGGGCAGGGGGCAGGTAGTCGCTGTAGCCGCCCGAGTAGCGGGCGTACTCGGTGTGCGCGTCCGGCAGGCGGCGGTAGTCCAGCGGGGACTTGGTGGGCGAGCGGCGGTACGCCAGCGGCGAGTCCGCTAAGCGCCGGTAATCGGCCAGCTCGGACAGACGGCGCTCGGAGCCGTACCTGGGCGAGAGAAGAGAGTGGGATCAGCCGGGGGGGACGGCACCTGGATCCGCCGCCGCTGGCGGCACCGTGTCCCACCTGGGGACGCACCACGGTGGGCAAAGCTGGCGCAGAACGGGATCGGACACGGGATGCCACGGAGGCCCCGCTGTGTGCCACTGCCTCCCCTCACCCACACTAAGTCCCATCCCCTCCCCGGGATCTGCGCGGCACGAGCGGAGCCATGGCGCCCACCGCGCCGGGCGACAGCAAGCCGCGCCGGTGCCACATGGCACCGGTCAAGCCGCGACTGGTGCGCCGGAGCCCGGCGAGCCGGCGAGCAGCGGGAGGCAGGGGCGGGGGTCGGTGCCCCGCCCGGCACCGTACCTTTTAGCCAGAGAGGACGATTTTTTGTACGGGTCGTCGTAGGCGGCGCTGCGAGGCGGGGAGAGGCGGGTGCGCTCGTAGGGCGGTGCGGCGGCGGCCTGCGCCAGGCCCAGGTAGGAGCCCGCCGGCTGCCCCAGCTGGCTCGGCCCGTCGTAGGCGCTGCCGGGCTGGGCTCGGTACGCAGCCGCCAGCGCGGTGGAGGATGGCTGCTGCGCCGGGTAGGAGGCCGCCATGGCGCCGGAGGCCTGCGCCCGGTACGCGGCCGTCAGCGGGGCAGAGGCCTGCGCCTTGTAGGAGGCGGCAGCGACGGCGGCCTGGCTGCCATAGGATGCAGCCAGCGAGGAGCCCGTCTGCGCGCCATAGCCAGCGGGGAGCGCGGCGGCCGCGGGCTGGCTGCCGTAGGACGCGGGCAGGCCTGTGGCGGGCTGGGCTCCGTACGAAGCTGAGTGGCCCACAGTGGGCTGGGCGCCGTACGAGGTGGACAGCGCGGGTTGGGCACCGTAGGAGGCAGAGTGGCCGGCCACAGGCTGGTAGGCAGCTGCGGCGTGACCTGCCACGGCCTGGGCACTGTAAGAGCTGGCGTGCACCGCCACAGCCTGGGCACTGTAGCCAGCAGACAGCACTGCGCCGGGTTGGGCACTGTAGGAGCCGGCGTGGCCATCCATGGTCTGGGTGCCGTAGGAGCCTGCGGCCAGCTGGGTGCCGTAGGACGCCACGTGCACAGCCACGGCCTGGGTGCTGTAGGAGCCAGCAGAGCCGGCAGCGGGCTGGGCGCCGTAGGCAGCGATGGCGGGCTGGGCGCTGTAGCCGGCTGAGTAGCCCGCGGCAGGCTGGGCACTGTAGGAAGAGGCCAGGGCAGCGGACTGGACGCCGTAGGAGCTGAGGGAGTTGGCGGCCGCGGGCTGCGCGCCGTACGAGGCAGCAGCGGCGGGCTGGGCGCCGTAGGAGCCGAGGGAGTTGGCAGCAGCGGGCTGAGTGCCCGCAGCGCCTAGGGAGCCAACCGAGGGCTGGGAGCGGTAGGCGCCGCCCAGCGAGGCCGAGGGCTGCGCGCGGTATGCGGCGGCCTGGCCCGTGGTGGGCTGCGGGCGGTACGCCACGCCCAGGGAGGCCGAGGGCTGGGCTCGGTACGTGGCTCCCAGCGAGGCCGAGGGCTGGGCGCGGTAGGCGGCCGGCTGCGCCGTCATGGGGAGCGTCACCGCCGCGTAGCCGGCGCGGGTGGGCGAGCGCCGCAGCGGGCTGCGGTCCCTGCCAAAGTAGGTGGGGGAGGCGGGTCGGGGCTGCGCATCGAAGGCGTCGTACTTGGCGCCGAAGCGCTGCTGGTAATCGTACAGGGAGGGGGTGGCGGCGTAGCCGGCGCCCGTGGCCGAGGGGAAGGTGGCATCAGCCACCCGGCGCTGCTGGTCGAAGCCCTCGATCTTGGGCTGGAACTTCTCGCGGTACTCGAGGCCGATGCGCTTGGTCTTGTCGACGCCGAGGGCGGGCGGCGGCGCCTGGCCCGTGCCCTTCTTCTGCACGTTGGTGGAGAGCTCCACGTTCACCCGGCGCCCCTTGACCTCCTTCCCATTTAGGTTTTCGATGGCAACTTTAGCATCGGCTTCGTTCTCCATGTGCACAAAGGCATAGTCTGACAAAGCAGCAGAGAGAGCAGTGAGGGGAGAAAACACAACTCGTTACAGGAGCCGGCACTAACGAGCCGTGCGGCGGCAGCGGGACGGGCGCGGGACGGGCGCTGCTGGCCCCGGGACGGCGCTGCCGGCCCCGCTCGCCGGAGAAGACACAACCAGCACCATCGGCTCTGCCCCACGCTCATTTGGTCACAGCCCACCCGGCGTCCCCCATCTCACAGCCTCCCCCAGCCCGCCTGGCTCCCTCTGTGCCCCCCAGGCTCTGCCTCCTGTGCCCCCTCCCAGCCCCTCCCTGGCACATGGGGAAGAAGGGCCCGGGCTGGGCTGGCAGTGCCAGCACCGTGGGCTCAGTGGGATGTCCTGGCAGTGAGCGGAGCAAAGCTGAGAGAACCGGCGCCAGCACAGAGAGCAGGACAGAGAAAGGGGGGAGAAGAGACAGAAAAAGACAAGGACAGAGAAGGGAACAGGGACTTAAGACAGAGAAGAAGAGGAGGGAGAAGAGGGAAGGAGGGAGGGAAGGAAGGGCCTGAGCACCCCCCATCAGTGCCCAGCCATGGCGAGGAGCCAGTGCCACAGGGCACAGCTGTGGCTTGGCAGCACAGAGGCATCTGAGCACAGCGAGGAGCAGGGAAGCAGGACCTGGTGGCAGCTCTGGTGGCCGCCTGTGGCACTTGGCCCAGCAGGTTTGGGGGCTGGATGCCCCCATGGTGGTCGGGGGGTCACCCCCCGTGGCATGACGGGTCCGGGGCTGGCACAGGGCAGGAGGGCATCCACCCTGTGGTATTTCCCTGCAGTCACAGAGCAAGACCACCAGAACCAGTAACAATCCACCCAAGGGTGGGTGGTGTGCTGGGAGCATCACTGGCCAAGCAAACCCATCCCATTTCTGAGGATCACTGCCATGTCACCCTCTCCTTTGTCCCCCCGGTGCCATCCCACTCCCCTGGCTCCTGTCCCACATCCACGTCCCACTCTGGAAGCCCAAAGAGGAAATGTCCCCTCCATGTCACCCCCAGCCCTGCTGCCGCACCCTGGGGGTAGCCATGGCACCCCCAAACCTGAGGGGACACGGGGCAGATTCTGCCGGGCTGTGCCGGTGGCTGCGACCTGGGATGAGAGAGCAGAGGAACAATGTCCCCCTCCTGTGGGCAGTGGCACGTGGGCACTGCGGGGAAGTCACTGCGGCTCCAGGGTCGGGTGAGAAGGGATGAGATGACAGCAGGGTCAGGAGAGGGAAGTGGAGTGACACTTGTCAGTCCATCAGTGTGACATGGGTGACACCTGAGCTGGGGGAGGTGGGTGACCCCACCAGGCTGTGCTGGGGGTCCCCAATGTGAAATCATTGAACCCCTCAGGGGTTTCACGCAGTGTTCTGTGCATGTCCCTGCTCCATGTCTATGGAGGCCAGGCCGTGGCCTGGGGGTGATTTGGTTGCAGAGGTGGCAGCAGTGGGCAGGGGGTCACCGCCCCGGGGCTGGGGGTGCTGATGGCACAGAACAAAGCTGCCAGGAAGGAGGTTATGGGGGTGTTCAGGAGTGTGGGGAGCCCACCTGGGCCACGTGAAGGACGTGAGGGAAGATGAGGAGGTTGGCTAGAGAAGAGATAATGTGGAATTTGAGGGGGTTGGGGAGCCCACACGAGCTCATATGGCCCCACCGGGGGTTTGGGGAGGCGATTGCAGAGCACGAGGCCGGCTGAAGGAGGGTTATCAGGGGAGTTACGGGATCAGGGGCACCCACAGGGGCTGGCACAGCCCCACCTGAGCCCGGGGGAGGCGATCGAAGACACGTGGTTGCCAGAAGGGGGGTTAAGGGGGCCGGACCGCCCACACAGGCCCGCACCGCCCCGGCCGGTGGGGCGGGCGGAGGCGATGGAGGAGGACGTGGCTGGCAGAAGGGGGGTAACGGGAGCTCACTCGGGCTCGCACGGCCCCGCTCGGGGCAGGGGGGAGGCGGCAGGAATCCCCCCGCTCCACCAGCCCGGGCCGCGCCGGGGTCCGGGCGGGGGCGACGCCGCAGTCGGACGGAACTCGGGTGCCACGGATCACCCGGCGGCGCGGGCCGAGCTGGGCGGCGGGGGCCGCGCGGCCCCGGCGGCGGGTCCGGTACCTTTCACCACGTCGCACTCCACCACGGGGCCGTACTGCTGGAAGAGCGAGCGCAGCTCCCCGCTCGTGCACGCGGCCGACACATTCCCCACGAAGATCTTGCAGGTGTTGGTGGGGCGCGGCCGGGACGGCTCCACCACGATGCGGCGGCCGTGCAGTTGGTGCCCGTTGAGCTGCGAGATGGCGCGCGCGGCCGCCGCCTCGTCCCGCAGGTGCACGAAAGCGAACTGTTTCATGAGGGCGACGCCCAGCACCGGCCCCGCGGCGCCTGCGAACAGCTCGCTCAACTCCTCCGCCGTCGCCTCCTCGGGGACGTTGCCCACGAAGAGTTTGATGCCAGGACGCATCGCGGCGGGGATCGCTGGGGGGAGCGCGGCGGGGACAGAACCGGCAGCGGCGGCGGCGGCTTCAAAATGGCGGCGGTTCCTGAGGGCGGCGGGGGCGGCGCCGTGCGCAGCGCGCCTGCGTGCCGTGCGCACCGCCCTCCCTCAGCGCGCCTGCGTGCCGTGCGCACCGCGCGCGCGAGCCCCACCCCCTGTTTTCCCGCCGTGTTAGCCCCGCCTGTCTCCCCTTTAAGCCACGCCCCAGTTGGCTCTAGCCACGCCCCCCCTTAAAGGAGCCGCAGCAGCTGTCGAGCGAGGGGGCTCCAACTCTTTATTCGGTCCCGGGGGGCTCCTACAGGTGGGGGCTGGGGGTCTCCATGGCGGGGGTCCCCGGGGGAGCCCCGCGGCTGCGGTCGCGCTCCTCCCAGAGGGTGACGCCGTCGCAGGAACAGACGCGTTTGGGGTTCTGGAAGAGCCCAGCCGCGCGAGCCACCACGCCACAGGCCAGCCTGGGGACACGGGAGGGTCAGGGGGGGTGACCCCGCAAAGACCCCCCCCCAAAAAACACCCCCCCGGTGCTCACCCCGGGCCCGAGTTGCCGGTGACACGGGACAGCGGGTGGGACCCCCGGCCCAGATCGTCCTCGCCCTCAGCCACCACCACGGAGCGGCCGATGATGTCCCAGACCTGGGGAGGGGGATTTGGGGGGTCACAACCCCACAGAGACCCCCCCCCAGATATAGGGACAGACCCTCCCTGGTGGTGGGGCAGAACCTGGACCCCCCAGGACCCCCCCAGACCCCAATTCCCACCTTCAGCCTCGGGTCCTCGATTCGGAACTGCGCCCGGCCCTCGGCGTCCGCCCAGATGTTCCCCAGGTCCCCGGCGTGCTGGGGGGGCAGGGGGCGTCAGGAGCCCCCCAAAACTCACAGAGCACCCCCCAGCCCCACAGAGACCACCCAAAGGTTCCAGAGACCCCCCCCCAATTCCCCTCACTGCACCACAGAAACCTCCAAAAATCCCACAGAGGCCCCTCCCGACCCCTCATTGTCTCCCCAAACCCCTCCAAGACCTTCCCAAATCCTCCAGAGACCCCCCAAACTCCCTCACTGCCCCACAAACCCCTCCAAGACCCCCCAAAATTGCCCAGAATCCTCCCAAAGACCCCCCCAAATTTCTCCAAGACCATCTCAAATCCTCTAGAAACCCCCCCAAATCCCCTCACTGCTCCCCCAAACCCCTCCAAGACCACCCCAAATCCTCCAGAGACCCCCCAAATCTCCCCATTGACCCCCCAACCCCCCCACAACCCCCCAAAACCCCCCCACCACC